TGTTTCAGCCTGAACTAGTATTACAAACTAATACTATGGTACAGTATTCTAAAATTCTAATCATGTACGTTAGACTTTCTTGAAATTCGAAAGGTTCAAAGTTATGTTTGTAAAGCTAAGTACCGTTTATCATTTTGCAACAAATTAGCTTTCTATCTTTTCGGGTATACCTACTGTAAATAAGAAATATTATTTTAAATAAATAAAACTTTCCTTAACCAGATATAACAGCGACTTTAATATATGGTATATATATATATATATGGAGTACATATAGTAAATGTTTCTTTCCTTGGTAAAATTTATATCTTTCTCCTGTGTACTTAATATTGATTAGCTGACTAATATCTTACTCAGACATGTTGATGATGACAAAACCTTGTCGAAACGTTGTACATTTGCTGTTATGTTAAACTTATATTAAAGTTTTACTTCATTACCCATTCAAGCCGTCTCCAGCCATTATTGGTCTCAAAGTGGGTTACTCGTCATCGAATTTACTCAGATATGTTGTACATTATTACATGAGTAAGGAAAGGTCAAAGAAGGGAGGAAAACAGAGATAATCCATTTTAGAAAAGAAATGAGAGGTTGGAGATATGAACGAGTGACAAAGAAGACATTCATGGGACAGTCGATAATTAGTATACTTGGAGAATATACCATCCACGTATGCATAAGAACATGCCAACCAAAAAGAGCAGACTTGGTCATATTTAGCAATTTACAAGTATGAAATAGCTGGGTCTAGAAAGCTAGTTTCACTATTATACCGATTTTACATATATAGATGGTTTTGTATCTCATAGTAAAACGATTTCAAACATACGTCACCAAGTCATGCAACAATTACATGCGATTGTAAAAAGTCGCAAATAAAACGGTATGTATCAGAGCTAAATTTTGACAATGTTTGGAGTTATGTAGATAGTGTGATACCATCGAAAACTGATTATTTTTGGAAGGGTATGTAACTGCAATTTGTGATACAAAATATTCATACACTCAGATCATATAGAAGTGTTCATATCGGAGGTTTAGAATTTGTATTTAATTGCGTTGTAAAACGAAGTAAACATACTGTTGAAACGGTGGTTGGAAATCGCCGACCTTGTAAAGTGGATGAATTATGGAAAGTTGTGAGGAGGAGGAATATGCTTTGAACGTGACAACTTCACAATGAAGCGTTTTGCAAGATGCATGGTCATCAGACAGAGCGTTACGGGAAGTGGCGATAATGGCTAACGATGTGGTAGGCTTCAAAGCCGTTTGGTTATTATGTACTCAACTTATATATATGTTCATGATTGTTTATGTAATTAAGTATTTGTTATTTTTTTCAATTTGATTTCTCTATGTGACATATATTCGAATACGTTATCATACACCAGTTATTAAACTTACATTGATATTTAACTTCGTCCCAACAGAAAAAGTTTCGAATAAAATTTGTGCACATACAACGTTTTCTCCATTGAAATTCATAACATATAGCTTCTTCGATCGTTTTAGCAATGTGCATATTTGTAATTTTTAATGACAGGTGTAACATGTACATTTCAAAAATGGATAATCTCACTATAAGCTAAGTTATATGTTATAAAATAGTTGTCACAAAAACGACTACATAAGAATAATCTACTGACTTGTTATTTGTTAGTTTGCTATGTTACTTCAAAAATTCCTAGGTAAAAAAGTAAAAACATTAAAATATTTATAAAATATCGCATGTAGTACATTTACCATAAGCATGTGCGTAGTTTTATAATTAAAGTATAAGCTTAATGGTGTATTTTAGTTACCATATAATATCTCTTTCTGCAGGCTCACAAGCCCTATATATTTCTCCATCGACTTGTTCTTTTCGTTCCTTCTGGTGGACAATCTATGGTAAGCTTTTGGATCTTCCAGCGTAAGCCTGAATTAACTAGTTTTCGAGGGTTTAATGCAAGCCACAGTTTGTTTGGGGTGAAGTCATAGGCTTTAATAACGTATGCAATGGGTCAGTTCACCAATACTTCCTTATACATATATTTACCAGAATTTGGGGGGAATAATATCAGTGTCAAAGAACAAAACGCCATATTTGTTTCCAATATTTCAGATTTACGGAAAGGAGAATACTTTAGTTATAACTGTTTAATCCCAACTGTGAAAAGATTTAGGTAAACAAACAAAATCAATCATTTGCCTTAGCCAACCCAGGACTTCGAGATTAATCAAATTAAAACATTCCGAGACGCCCACATGAAAAGTTATGATTTATTTAGCCAGATAGATGCTCACCAATGGATGGTAACAAACGTTAATAACATATTAACAGTAAAAGTATGACCATTTCGTATTAACACGGAAAAATACAGTCTTCCTTCTCTTAAGGTTTGCTGTCTTATTACTTTTATTAATCTAGTGTACATAGTAGCCAATGTTAATGTACATGAACATATTTTTTATTGAATTAGCTAGTGATCATGATGTTGTTTTTCAAAAGAAACATTTGGTAGGCTATACATTTGTGGATACCTCTGAATGGCAATGTTTGTGTTTTGCCTATTCAAAGTACATTACATTTAAATTCATTGTAACAAATTATGAACTATTTTGTTTGTTGATCTTCCATAGGTGAAAAGTTTCCTTCAGAAGATGGGAGGGCCAACAATAGCTTTTACATGCCTTGACTTATTTCTTGTCACCAAATCTACTTTGCTTAATGTAAGTTGAAAGATACGTATGTTAGCCTTTGACATTTACCAGAACAATCTCTACATTTATAGTGTTTGTTTGTTTGTTTTAAATTTCGCACAAAACTACACGAGGGCTATCTGCGCTAGCCATCCCTAATTTAGCAGTGTAAGACTAGAGGGAAGGCAGCTAGTCATCACTACCTACCGCCAACTTTT